GGGTATGGAGTATAGAGGTCAGGCTGGTGCGACTTCCATAGTAAGAGGAAGCCCAAAGTGGGCAGGGCAAGCGTGTCACAATTAGTGAGAGTAGAGCATAATAATAGACCGTCAGTCGTAGACTCAAATTGTTGCAAGCTGACGGGTCGCTACTTAAGTGATATATACAAAAATATGCCGTTTTGTGCAATTTAAGAGTGTAAAAACGAAAGTAAAAAATAAAAATATTTCAAATAAAGGTGTTTTGTACCAAAGGCACGTGTAATTTTTAATTTTGTGGATAGAAACTTAACTAAACATGGACAAAATGTCAAATTGCCTTTATTACAAGCAATATTCAACCTTATATCGTTAAGATAAGGTTCAGCTGTAAATACGTTTTGAATAAAATAGCTTCGATAGTGTTGTAACTACGCCGACATAAAAGTTTTCGATAAAATGTTATCACAGTCCTGTTAATTCACTAATATATTAATGAAAATTTGCAAATGCTGGATGTCTTTGAAAATATATGAAATTGTAGGGTGAAGGCCTGCGAATGAACATTTGTAAGGATTGCTAAGCCAGAAAAATAAGTAAGTAGTTTAGTACTACTCATGACTTTTGGAAAAAAGCTGAAATAAAAGTGATCGTAATATCATGATCTACATTGGTAACCGAATGCATTATTTTTTTTTTATACAATAAGGGTAACAAACGAGCACACAGTCTACCTGATGGTAAGTGCTTGCTGTGACCCATAGACATCTACATTTATCCTCAATAAAGAATCAAAATGCGGATGCGTTGTCACCCGTGAGGACTAAGATGGAATGCCTCTTTTTCAGTAAAGAGGGTCAGTTATCAAAAATTATCGTGATTGCAATTTTATAATAAAGTGCAAACACGATAATTTTTAAACAAATATGTGTTATTTCAATGACAATAAACATAGTCATAGTCATTTATTCCATAGAACAATATTACATTGTATTGGAAATTTATAACATTTACATGCAATTATTTTAATTAAAATAATTAACTCTAAAATTGAAACATCATTTAACAAACTAATTAAACACTTAATAATCAATTGCTAAATTATTGTTTTTTATTATTCTCCTTGTTTCCATTTCAAAAATGATAATTTAGCTTATTATAAATAAATTTCCATTAAATACAATTAATTATATGCCGGCTATATGAATTACATGGATATACGTGGTACATTATGGCAATTTCCATTAAATTCTGCTATTTTACTCATTTTATCATATGTTGTTGTTTTTTTTTTTTCAATTTAGTTTCTTCGGTCAATTCATATACATGATAATAATCATATACTGAATGTCGATATAAGCCAGATCATGTTCAGGCAGGGTAACTACATCACTAACATCATTCACGTAGCAGTACAGGTTAGTTAGGGCATGGGTAGGGTAATCTCAACGTTATATCTATTGGCATTATGTCTCTAATAGCGTGAATTTATTTTTGCGATATCTAACGTTAAGAAGCTAAGTTTGCTCATTAATTATAGAAACTTCGTTGATGAAAAGGAATAAAATCTCTATTTTTAAGGACTTATTGTTCATACTCAAATGAATGGCGAGTAACATAATACTTTCTCTTTTATTTTTTAATAACCAATCACGCGATAATTATTGAAATGGTACACAATTGTTGATACACATTTCTTTCTTGTGCATGTGTGAGTTTGGCGACAGTGGTTTCGCTACAAATTATGCATTTTGCTACTTCCTAAAAATTATATGTACTACATGGGTCAAATATTAATGACAGTTATCTCTTCTTTCTGTTTTTCGTTATATGTCTAATCAAATAGGTTCAAATGTAAAATCAAATAACTACATTTGCATATATTTTATTTATTAAGGTTGCTTTTAATTTTGCTATAGGAGCCGTTGTTCATTTACAGAATTGTTAAAAAATTCAATATGTATTATAAAACTTGCCAATGAAGGCTAATAATTTTCTGCTCACCAAATGTCACTGAGGTAAAGTTTTTTTTATTACACAATGTAATTTAATTGAGAAGTTGGTTTTAAATAAAAGTTTATCAATTTATAGAGTTATTATATTATTACACAAAACAATGTCTCGTGCCTGGTTTGCTCTTTAATTTTTTGCACATTTTAATTTTTTTTTAATTTTTCTACTTTTATGAATACTTGTGGTTTGGTTTATGTATTTTTAATCTTATTAATATAAAATATAGTCCATAGTATAGAAAGAAACATTAACCTTTACATTTTCCGAACAAATTAACTTCCCCGCTATGAAATCTGTCAAATATTATACTTCACTTTCTAGTGGCGCCACCCTGGTGGCAGATAAAGTTGTGGATGCCCTCATTAATGGCAAGAAGCGGAAGAAATAATAACAAGAAAAGGCTATTTATAGCAATATTTCCCTTAGGTGATGAAAGGTATGTGGTGATTTCAACTTCAATTGTAATATGATTTTTAACGCGAGAACATTTTTGGACTAGCCATCCACGTAGGACAGGTTTTTATAGTGTACGATTGAGTGTACAAATACAAACACACTATTTCCTAAATCTGATAGTTTGATGGGATGGCAATCCGAAAGGAACTATACTTAGAAACTACATTATCAATTGCGACTGCTAATATTCTATTTGTTTAATAAAAATTATATTATTTTTTCAGATGCAAGCAATGGGTGAAATAGCTGACATATGCACCAATTAAAAATATTCACACATAACATATTTGTGGAAACATTGCAAATCCAAGGATTTTGAACCCAACTAAAACGAACTGTTATTTCATCAGTGGACTTTATTTAAACTTACATAATTATGTGTATGTTAATTAGGTTTCATATACATGTAGTAAAAATAATAAAGTCACAATTTGGTGAAAATTCGATTATATAACTAAACTCAAAGTTATTTCTAATTACCTGGTTATAAATATTTTTTTTACAAATTCATCTACAAACATTAGCTATAATGAGCACTCATTTTGAAAGCAACAATTAGTAAACGATCTCTGTGAGTAGTTTTGTACATAAGTGCATCTGTGAAGAAGCCTAGCAATTTGTACATAATATTTGTTACATTTAAAAACAATTTTATCCAATCAGTGTTAAAAAAAACCACCCAGTATTCTTACCCTTTAAAAAAACCTAACGTTAAAAACAAGCATCTAGACACAAACAATTTATTCAACAGCATAGCAACACTTGTTCAGTACGGGAACGAAGCCTCGGTCCAGCAGTGCCGCAGCCAAACGCTGAGCCAGTGCGCTAAGGAGTCGTCACTTATTTTTTACTTAATTAATTACTAGTATAATAGTGCTTTTTTATTTTATATTTTCTTTATACATATTTTTGTACCTAATAATTATAGAGATATAATAACAAACTGATGTGTGTAAAATACATTGATTTCTTATCGTCATCGGCATTTTTACTCAATCCCCACGTTAAAAAAAATTATTTCTCATAAATAATTCAATACAGAGATCTGACTTTTATTATGTGAAATATCGATAAAGGTTGTATCGATAAAATTAATCGAGGATCAAGGAGGTTATATTGTCGAGGATAGACATTCAGCACTATTATATTTCGCCTATGTTGTCAGAACGTAGATAGAGAATACTATAATAAGTCTATGTATATATTAAAAGTCTAAGTAAAAATATAATGAGAACTGTTTGTCAAAAATTAAATGTCATGTCTTGATGTTGGTAGAGTAGCTTGGCGCCCGTTCATACCTTTACTTTTTCTAGGAAGTCCTGCCTCTTAAACGTAGTGATTATATTCTCTTTGTAAGGAGAACTGTCTCTGTGTATGAATAAGTATCCGTAAAAACGCGTCGAATGAGGGTAACGCTGCGGTAGCATCGGATAAATTTTAAAGAAAGCGCCAAAAGTAATTAAAATAAGATGTAGAAATGATTCAAGTTATATACTACATAAATATACACTTTACATGGATTGAATTATTTTTAATTCGATTTCTCAATCAGGGTGCCGTAAATTAAATAAATTACTCAACATATAGTAGAACGGAAAAAAGACAAAAGCTGAGGCGAACCATTTTTTGTCGTTTTTAGTTTACGTCCACTTGGACAATTATTCACTATACTAGTTTTTCCATTTATTGTTCAATTATTTAATTTTTGGTAAGAGTTATTTTGGGTAATTAGTTTATTTTAGATCGAACAATCATCAATAGTGATCGAAAAAATTAATGAATTTAAGGGATAGAAGTTAAGGTAATAAGGGGAGCTTATTGATGTATGATTTATGAAATTTGTTTAATTAATTAGAAATAATTAAAAGACAAACAAACAAATATAAAAATATGTTTTTGCCCGTGAAAGAAAAAGTGGACATCTCCCGCCGCGCATGGTCTTCAGCCCCGGGAGCAGCCAATGCTCCATGTCTTCTACATGTTGCTGTTTGGATTATAGGGCTGTTCTTTGAATACCGAATTATTATGAAAAAAATTTGATAGTCTAATATAGGCTTCGGTTTATTTCCCTTGTGGTGCGATGACAGTGCCGCTGCATTACACAGACCCGGATTCAGAACATAAATCAATGGTGCATTCCAGTTTTCGACGAAAATGCAAGTACCAGGAATTACCTTGTAGTCTGTGGTGAGTCCAGAAGAAAGCAAGTGTTAATTTACAATTTCATTAAAACCGTTATCAATGGATGTTTTAAATAACTTATCCAACTCCGTTGTTCTTTAGCACACAATATCTCAAGTTCTTAAGGCGCCTAAGCGGATAAGTAACTTGAGATTTATATCAACATTGGAGCACTTGTTTCCTACGGAGCTATTATATAAGTGATAACATAGTAGCAACGATCCACTGGCGTTCAAACTCCCGCCATACCTTTATTACAACAAATATAAAAACAAAATAAAAATATATTTTGTTTTTAATCTACCTTATACAGGTATATTTGTTGTCTATGATCTGGTCTATGGTTGTCATTTAATATTTAATTTCCAAGGAAATAATTTCGCTTAGTACGTTCGTACGCCTGAAGCGTTTTTATATATAAAATATAAATAGTCTGTAATTTTAATAAATAACCTCAATATGGTAGGCGGTTTTAATTGTTGTCTTATCTTATAAAGTGAATTTACAAATATGCTACTATTGTTAGCCTAACAATACAGTCCCAAATGTGTAACCTCAAAAATGCATTTGTTTTCAGGATGTCTTCTTGATGATTAGGCGAAAAAAGTTAACCATCTTCACAGACGCAAAAGATACTACTACAGTATTAGAGTTGAAGAAAATGATTGAGGGTAAGTAAGAATCGTACGATATCAGAGAAATCTATTTTTAGTTCTTAGACAATGTCGGATGTAAAAAAGGTCGTTTCACTGTATATTGTTTGATGTAACACAGTTGATATAAGTTAAACAGGTACAAATAACAAGAAGTAAACAAAATTTGTTCATTTAGTAGGTACTACACTACTTGTCACAATTAACATTCAACTTTAACCTTGCCTACATAATCCTATTATTATTGCTTTTATTTTATAAAAATATTGACCAGACAGTTTAAATCTCTTTGTACTATATAAATAGAACATTTTTTATTAGGCTATCATTTATTTGATGATAAAAATCATGTTGGCCAGTAAAATTTTAATTTATATAAATATTGTTTATGCTGTAAATATGAAAATGGTTATACATTAGTGTGAGGCCTAGGTGCTTCAGATACTTCAGAATGGTTTTCTTTTCTTTGTTTGAAGACATCGGATGGCTGACTATTGGTCTTCTAAACAGTATGATGGAGATATTTTTAGTTGTTTGTTTGTACAAACCTAATGCATTAATAATGGGTGCATCAAGCAGTAGTTTGAAATATCAATTTTAATGCCCTATTTAATGACATCCTAAATTAGGTTGAATATGCAGACATTTAGCAGGAAAAATCCACTGCTGATTTCACTTCATTTTTTTCTTTTCTTGAATGCCAGCAAAATATTGCTTGTGATTTACAAGAGAAGGAGCAAAGTTTGGGGTTGTCCAATAGTGACACATCAATGTCATCTGTTCACCAGAAGTAAACAACCATTATGTACAAACTAACACTATGTATATAACACCATATGGTTATCTTTGGCTTACCCCTACAAAACAAGTAAAAAGTAGACTGGAATATTTTGCAATTCTTAAAAATTCTCTTTGACAGATAATATGTTAAAATATGATGATATATGAAAATTTTTAATTCAGTTAATTGGATTCTGTACATTTAATTCTAAATGAGAAGTTAAATTATTTGAAAATTTGTTTGTTAAAAAGAAAACATTCTGTTTTTAAAATATTCCTAGGAAGCATATTATGTGTGGTTTTCTCAGCTTAAAAACTATAGAAGACATAAAGCTTACTGTCTTGCCCTTCTACTTTTCAGGTATCCTGAAGGTACCACCACCAAGTCAAATGCTGTTTAACAAGGACAGTCAGCTGATGGAGGACGATAAAACTCTTGCGGAATATGGTCTAACATCAGCTACTGCTAAGGCACAGTGCCCAGCTCCTATTGGACTGGCTTTAAGGTATGTGTATAAATTCTTATCATCTAACTCCCTTGTTGGTAGTGCTCATGTTTTTTTTTATAAGAGAAGTGTGACAAACGAGCACACAGTCTACATCAGATGGACTGTACTATATAAGTGGTTACTGTGGCCCATAGACATCTACATTTATCCTCGATTATGAATCAAAATGCAGATGCATTATTACCTGTGAGGACTAAAATGAAATGCCTCGTCTCCAGTAAAAATGGTCTCCGGTTCACTACATTCACCATACGAAACATAGCAGCGTTAAGAAGAAGTTTTTATGCTGGTATTCTGTGAGAGCGTGGTCCTTCCCCGGTCGAGCCGACCCATTTGTGCTATAATTATACTACTAATATAGCTGCAGCATGGCTCTACCACGTATATGTATATTACCTATCTATTTGATAAATTATAATGGCAAAACGTTGTTCCTACTATAATTATTATATATATACCAGATATATAGTTGCAGCATGGCTCTACCACATACCATGTGGTCCCAGGTCAAGCCAAAAATCAATTTTTTCTGTCAAGAATTTCTCTATAGCAGCCCAGAGTTGGCAGTGGAGGTGGAGGAAGTTGATCATGCTTTCACCTCTGTGCGTTCAAAATTACACAAAACTTGTTATTGTGTCATCTTGTTGATCCATCAGAATATGACAGTTAGGGAGCAAAGAGTGCACTTATACTTGTGCACTCACCCATGAACTATAATTATGTCATGTGCAGATGGCTAGTATCTTTTGAGACTGGTCGCTCTGACTAAAACTGACTTCAGTCTGGAGGACATTATCAATGATCAACAAACTAGAATATTTAATAATGATAATTAACGAGTAATAAAAGAACTGGTACTAAGGTAATAATTATCAATTTAATTACTGATAAGGTAACAATATCTACTACCTACAGTTATTTTTTGATTATTTTGCAACATTCAAATTGATTAGATACCAAAAATATTGTAATATCTACCACGTAAAGCCATGCTGCAGCTATATTAGTAGTATAGTTGTAGCACGAATGGGTCGGCTCGACCGGGGAAGGACCACGCTCTCACAGAAAACCAGCGTAAAATAGCAGCTTAACGCTGCTGTGTTTCGTATGGTGAATATAGAGAACCGGAGACCCTCTTTACTGGAAAAGAGGCATTCCATCTTAGTCCTCACGGGTGACAACGCATCTGCATTTTGATTCTTTATTGAGGATAAATGTAGATGTATATGGGTCACAGCCACTACTTACCTTGTGTGCTCGTTTGTCACCTTATCGTATAAAAACCCATAACACAGTCCTCAAAAGCTGCATATTATCTAAATCAGAGTTTCCCAACCTTTTTTTGACTACTTTGACTTTTTTGTAGTTAGCTGGGACCACAAGGTGAAAGAATTTTTTATATAATAAACTGACAATTAATCTATGTGTTGTGGGCTCATCATCTGTATCTTTCAAAATGCGGTCAGCGAGTTCTCTAATAATCAAGCAGCTCGATTGACGTCGACCAATCCATTCCATCATTCATAAAGAACCAGATACCCTTTTTACTGGAAGCAAAGTATTCCATTGTAGTCCTCAGGGGTGACAATGCATCTGTATTTTGATTCTTAATCGACGATAAATGTAGATGTCTATGGGCCACAGCATCGACTTACCATCAGTTGGACTGTGTGCTCGTTTGTCACTTGTATTGTATAGATAAAAATTAAATCTGTGTATTGTAAAGATGTGTTAGTAAGGATATGATGCTCATATCATGATCAGGCCCGCTACTGGTACAATACCTATGTGTAAAAAGCAACAATGCCAAACTTCTTCTCTCATCAAAATCATATACTTTTAGCTTCCAATGTTTATGATGTGAATTATGAAATATATCTAGTCAAAAATCGTAAAGTAGAATACTTGTCTAACAGTGCATCCACTTGAAATGTCAAGCAGTGCAATGTAGCTAATGTCAATGCTGAATGTTATGAATTAAGAGTAATGATTCATGTATGAATGTGTCAGACTTGAATAAATGTTTGTGCAACATATTTTTAATTATTTTGCCTCTATTGATTCCTTAATCTTATCAAATTTCGTCATAAGTGATTCCCCAGTATTGTTTATTTATATGTCTGGTCATGTGCTGGCTGCATCAAATAATCCATTGTCCAATTTCTTCCCAGGGGTTGTAATAAGAGGAGACTAGGTGGAATGAAAGTCAAAAAAATATCATGTCTTCCAAAGATATGATAAGACCTTGGAGAGCATTGTCAAAACAGGGAAAGGACTGTTAGTGTGATGTCCAATCTTTCTGCCAAGGATTAGTACAAGTTACTTCAATAATAGAAGAGGCCCGGTCTAGTAAGCTTAAGTGGCAATGGGCCGGCCATATAGCTCAAAGAACTGATAACTGATTGGAAAAAAGTTCTTAAATGACTGCCTCATACTGGTAGGCGAAGTGTATGGCGTTCCCCCTCTAGATGGAGTAACGACCTGGTAAGACATGCAGGCGGCTTACAACCATGCTTTGTGGCTTTCCTTCGGGTAGGCCTATATTCAGCAGTGGACTTGTGAAGGGCTGTAATGATGAAGTGATGGTGATGATAGGCCCATGTCTATACCATTAAAGGCTGATATTAGTATGCCTGATGGTAGCCACATTTACAGGGATATGACTGCCAAACACATGCATTTGATACCACCACCATTCTGAGTTCTATTAGTAAGAAGCCTTGAAAATAATAGCCCGACTTAAAATGGTTGTTGAATGTTTTTTGTTATGCAAAATATTGTTCTAACCAAAATGTAAAAGTAATTCATAGTAGATCAGGACCAAAATACTTATCAAGTTAAAAGTGGGTTGTGTATAAAGGTGGCATATTTAGGATAATATCACATAGGATATATATAATAATATTTCAATTTGAATTTATAGGAAAGAAAATGGTGAATTTGAAGCTCTTGACCTGACCCCATACTCTTCACCTCCTGACCTGCCTGATGTCATGAAGTCACAGGAAACTAATGGCCAGGAACAGGTAATTTTTATGCATATTCTTAGTAGTAGATCTTTAATTTTGACGACGGCATTTCAAGTGCAACAGATGCAATAGTAATACTTTCTACACAAATCCATAGTCCATGGTAAGTGAATGCTGTAGCCCCAGATCTATTTTCAATAAGAACCAAAAGGCCAATGTGGTCATTCCGGAAGACTAAAAATGCCTCATCACTAGTAAAAAGGTCTCAGCTTCTTATCACATAAATTTATAATAAATAATACATTGGGATATATTATGACATTAAGAAAACACCAAACAAGATAGCCTTCAAAAGATTGGTTCAGGAACATCTTTCAAAAACAGACACATTTTATATTTTTATAACATCAATTAGTACTGCTACCTATATTATATACTAGCTGTTCCCCGCGACTTCGTCCGCTTGGAATTTACAATGATTGAATTTCATGGGTTTCAACTTTTTTGCGCGGAACCCTATTTAATTTTCCAAAAAAGTAGCCTAATTTACTCCTTATAACATCAACTATCTGTCAGTGAAAGTCCTGTCAAAATCGGTTCAGGCATTTCGGAGATTAGCCGAGACCAACAGACAAACAGATTTTTTTTGTTAATTGTGTTTTTGTTATATATGCATGTAGTAAAAAGCTGTTATTTTGACGTTACAAACACTAATTTTATTTATTGTGTAGGTATATGTGTATATATGTATGTATATGTGTCGTGGATAATTGTTATATAATATAGATTATTATGCATTTGTTTGTATTTATATGTATTGGTGTAATTTATAAGCCTTATTTTAATGTTTAAAAATAAATAGATATATTTATTTTTATCTATAATATAAAAATGATTCGCTGAATGTGTTGCTAAGCGCAAATCTCGAGAGCAGCTGAACCAATTTCGCTAATTCTTTTAATATTTTTTTATTTTTATATTAAGTACAAAGATTCTTACGGAGAGAAAAATTTAAAAAAATTGCCTGAAAAAGTCTAAAAACAACACTTATCTATATTCCCATACAAAAGATTCGTAATAATACTTAAAAGTCAATTTGAACTTGAATACCATACCATAAAGTTTAAGTGTTAGTGGAGGGGATCTGGCAAGCAAAACAATTGAGTGACATTAGTATCGTATAAATATTAATGTCAATATTTGTCAATATATTATACACACTGGCAGATAGCTAATGTTATAAGGAGTAACTTGGGCTGCTTTTATTTTAGGGTTCCGCGAAAAATAACTCCACGCGGGCGAAGTCGCCGGGAACAGCTAGTTATGTATAGTTATTTAACTCACCTGCCACTAATTTCTCACCACACCTTGGGTTGACTGGCAGAGAATGCTAACTGGCATTAATAAGTCCGCCCTTTGTAACCTTTATTGTTAAAACAATATTTTTTAAATAAATAAAAATAGAACATAACTGCATTATGCTGTATTTCTTATTACAGATGGATCAACATTAAGCGACTCTGCGATGGTTTGGATTACATTCATGCAAATTACAACTCTGTACTATTTGTACTAAAGTACTGTTTCAAATACTTTCCTGTCAGTACCTACCATTAATGCTGGAGGGTGCCACCCTTCTTTATATTATTTGAAAAATATTTTGTTAACAGTTTATTATGATTTATGTTTGATTATAACACAAATCTACTCAATTTTTAGTATTTTTGTGACGCTTTGACGAATGTAGCGCTTTTTTGTAGTGTATCTATAAATTAAAACTTATTGAGTAAAGACAGGTAACATTATCGCGTCGTATGTGATAAATAAAATTAATGTATTTATTGCAATGAGATGGTGTAAGTTGGTGTCCCATGTATTAAGTAATATGAGAAATATAGAAATGTTATATAATCCCACAGTGAGACTTAGAAGGCGAGTCATTATTATACACAACTAAGGTCTTTAACGCGGATAAAAGGAATATAAAGTAGACATGTGTCATTCATTTATTTCTAGTGACCCGATCATTCAAGTATTGATATGTCTTACGAACCAGGTAATTCGGGTCGATCAAACAAATGGATCAATTCGAGTTTCAGTACTCTGTGATTTGTGAGACCTGATCGATAATGTCTGTCTTCAGATATTACTATACTCTGGTCGTAGGTCCTGTCAATCGTTCAGTACAGAACATTCAAAAGATGTAATTGCAATCATCAATACTTTGATGTGACTCGAGTCAAATAACCTAATCACTCGCGATTGACACATCTCTAATATAAAGGATATTTAAAACAAAATTAAATGAATCTTTTGTTTGTTAAGTACGACATTGAGAAGTTCAATTTTGTAGTAATGTTTCTATGTGTTTCATATTAATCACAGTTTGTATCATTGTCACATGAGTTCCATCATACTCTTGTGGTTTTTAGACAAACTAGACATAATATTTAATAGTCTCTGATCTTTTATAATTAAAACCTCTGTCACATTTTTAATAGTAAATATAAGAAAATTTTGTACGTATGTTATTTGCACTTGAAACTGATGCTTGTCTCTGCTATGACTAATGTTAATTTGTAATATAGCTTCACGCTTTTATCAAGATTTACTGTTTTAATTTTAATTTTATGATAACATACTAAAATTAAAATATTACTTATCGTAATATTACTGAACAATACTATAGTCAGTAAATTTTATCTATACCAAGAGAACATGTGATGGCAATATGTTTAAACATTTTTTAACCAAGTTTTCAATGAAATTCTTAAATTCAATGCAAAATTAATTGCTTGCAAGTGCATTAAGAAATTACCTACATATTTTAAATAAAAAACATCAGTTACGAACGTATTAATTTAAAATTATTTTAGTTGTTGACCAAAATTTGGGCCACACAAACTTACTGATAAAAATCTTTAATTTTGATGGCAGCATTCTAAGTGTCCAATCTTCATTAAAACTGTATATTATATACGGCACTATGCCTAAGAATTATTTTCAAAAATCTGTGTCAACACGATAGTGCTGTTCATCTACGATCATTTTGTCGGCAAGCGATGTATTTACGATTGCTATATCTTCTGAGTTACTGGGTCTATTTTAATTTTTTAGCTTTGAGGTTGATATGTCACTGGAAGTGTTAAATAAAAAAAATTAGATCCAATATCTGCTTCAGGTAACAGTTGTATTATATTTATTATTATTCCTCTCATATTAATATGTTATACGACTTTATTTCTAATTTTTACGTATATACGATAAAATTACGCCCCTTGTGCGATAGGAACAATATTTCTGGTCGGTAATGTTGCCTAAAATATTTCAACGATAGAAGAACACTTGTGTATGTCATGGTATAAGCGAGATAGCTTTAAGCAATGCGAGTATAACTACTGTTAAATTTAAAATTATTGTGGTATTTAACTGAATATAGTATAGAATGAACTATAGGTAAATAGCTAATTTAATAGGGTAATATAGGGGCTTTTTATATTCGTGAAAAATGAAGACGCCAGAGTCTGTGAAAACTTTCTTTGTTGTAATTAATGAAAGAAAATGTTTCATAAGTACTTTGGAGGTAACTTATTTTCGCATATTTTTTCGATTGACTTTTGTATTCTTTTTTCTCTCTATTGTACTCATTTTGCTCATTTTTCACATATCTGTATATTTTGATTATATTTGGGTATTGCATTGAACCTCTAAATGGTTACACACTTGATACGATTTTTACACAAAAAAATCAGCAAATTTAACTAGGTTTGTTGTTTTATTTTAAATCAGCATTCATTTACTAATTAAAGAATTTATGACAGTAAATTTTTTAAAGAAAAAAAATAATTGAAAATGTTACTTTTTTCTTGTAAAACAAGTACCGAGTAAGCATTGAGCATATTTTGTTTTGAGAGGATATTCGGGCGGCGTTAAGTTCATAATGTCAAATTTTTCTTCTGTTTTCTGCTTGGATAATGACACTCGTGAAATTATTTTTTACGATATTATCTATATCTACTTTCTACCTCTGCTATGTTTCTATGTTTTGCGCTTTCCATCGATTAATTTAAAAACTAAGAACCTTTCAAAATTACTAAAACCGTTTTACCGTGTAGTGGCGGTGTACGAATATTCACTACCTTATTGATATAAGATGATTCTTGTGAGTGTCATCAGAGGGAAACAAATCATTAGATGGGCAGCGGCTTCTTTCTAAAAACAACTAAAAATAAAAAACTGCGGTCGCCAATCCGCTTGCCAAGTGTGGCAACTTTGGCAAATATCTCCGGTCGGTTAAGGACACTCTTAATTTGGCCCATTTAATATATCGCCAATATGGTCGATAAACTCTAGGTCTCTAGTGCATCCTTTGCCGACTGTCCTTCACTTCTCCAACATAAATTTGCATTGTCGCTCTTTCCTCATTCATTCTTGATTAAACCACCGAAGAAATCCTTTCACCTTAATCCTGGTCACAACATTACCTTGCAAACGACCCTGTCAGGGGAATACGAAATGATGATTTGTATATTTTTCACATGTATAAATACTAATAACAATTGACTCTCTTGTTTGTCTGGCTCTATCGTTCAGGCACAGCGCGATAGTATCGTTAAAAACTTATTCTCTAAATTTCTTGCAGCCTCGATATCCTCTTAGTGTAATTTTAAAGGCATCAGGAATTTCGTTAGTAACTTCAATGCAGACCCAATTTGTTTAAACATTAGTTTGATGCATAGCTAGCAAATTTTAACAATCTTCTAAATAGAACAACACTAAATAAAATAAAATATGTCTTAATCCCTATATAATATGAAACAATATTGCACTTTTAAATTATAATAAGAGAAATTAAAAAATTGAGAGTGTTACCACTACCACTGATATTTCTATTCTATTTATAGTAGTAGTCTATTCATAATAGAGGATATTCTGTCTGCCAAAGTACATGTGGTAGTGGAACCCTTATTCGATATAAATGTCAAATATTGGAAACTAGTATGGAAAGATTTGATGTTGTTTTTTCAGACTCATTATTGCTGATAAAATAACTAATGGATGCCAGCAGCAATAACAATCACAGGTGTTGGTTTTCGAGAGAGATTCAGTCTAAGATTTCATGTAATATTTCAGAAATAGAGTTCTTTTTTTTTTTAATATTCAAAACAAATATACTATTCACGTTCTGAGAGTTAAAGGATGTGTAATGTAGAATTCATGTGCAAGTGTGGGAAATTCAAAGAAAACCAGCAAGAAATAAAGCTGTTTTGATTTGTTTTGTATGTTTTTATTTCTTATACCTCACTTAAGATAAAGCCGCGCATCGATTATGCGTATTCAAAAGGTCAAACATTGGCACACGTTCCAGCCGCGCAAATTGTTCGTTGGAGCCTTGCTACATATTTATTTAGCTATGGTTTGAACGCTCAAACGTGAAGCGAGCCGTTCCATTTGGTGTCTGTTTTTTACCGCGTATCGTTATAGCGCGCGCGCCAGTTGGGACGGTTGTTTCCATCAATCGTGTGTTCGTTGCGTTCCGAGCTATAGATAACCAAAGTTGCCGTAAATTGATAAAATCATATGGTTAAAAATAACTGCTGTGGAATAGCAAAAGTCGTTTTTATCATAATAAAGCACTTAGAGAATATGCATGGAACTATGAAAGCGGCAACTGCACGACCGACATCCATGTTGAAAGATCAAACCACAACGATCTTTAACTATTTTTATTTCTAACCTACATGGGTGCAGTTTAAATAATTAATATTTTTGAGATGTGCTATTTAAAATACGTCTGCCAGTATTTTTTTTATATATATACTCCAAATTTTCATGTGGGGGGGTAATCTATGACTGGAACGGCTGCGCGCCAGGCGCGCATAATCGATACGCGGCCTAAAAGAAATATGATCTCCATTATAACATATAGTTTATATATGAGCTTATGGTGAGTAGCTTAGAGCATTTCAGTAATATTCCTTTAAACAAAACGCAAAAATTACTGATATTGCCCGATTTGTCGGTAAACTGTTCTTTCTTGCTAAATGCTAATGTGCAAGTTTGTTTTTTTTGCACCAAGTCACTCCGGAAGCGGGGGAGGGAGGTGGTGAATGCTCATAGCATAGGTACCACGACAGCCGACTGCGCGGTTATGTGGGACTCACTTTGAAGAAATGCCTACCCACTAAACACCACCTGTGGCACTGGTATTGGCTTGTATGACCTTTCTGTCGAATTGGAAGAGACCCCCTTTAGGGAAAAGGGGGCACATGCAAGTTTGGTGACACTAGTTCTATTTGTTGTTATTCGTTCGTTGCTTTCCTTTGTTCGTAAGTTTACAAACAAAAGGGGGCGGGTTACCGGGATTACCTTGCTGAATAGTTCTAGTCACTTCCATATATTCAGTTTCGCTTGCACTTAAATACTCCTATGCGTCATAGCAACTAAAGCTGAGAAGCATCGTATGTATTATAATTTTGAATGTGTTTTGTTTAATACCAAAATTGGATAAAAAAATTAACTACTGTTTACTTTTCTATGGATATTAAGTCTGGGATCGGCCAAATCAGCATGAAAACGAATTATTTGTCTTTACATTAATCGAACGGACGAATCAATTGTAAAAATAATCTAATTGATTAATTTGCACAAAATGTACCCTCTGGCAGAAAAAAAATAATATAGCACAAAAAATTGAAATAAAAGTACCAAGTATTAGGTATACCATTTTGAAATCTAAATGAATTGCGCCAACTTTTGAATACAGTTTCCAGTTCCATGTGGGTACATTTTTTTTACAGAGTGAAGGGTCCAACTTGCTCGATAAAACTTTAATGTTACACTTTTACGAATATTTATGTATTTATTTCTACCAAACCGTAATAGGTACTGTAAAATAAAATAGTAGGTATAGTAGGCATATCATTAGGCTATACAAAACAGAAAAAAAAATTATAATCAGTCCTCATTTGCAGCTGCAAAATCAAAAATATTGACTTAAAGGATGATTTTCTGGAAAATTTATAAATCATCCTTTATCTTTTAAACCACGCAACTTGGGTATAGGACTCAATTTTTTTTAACAGTCCTTCCATGGTCTACAACCCCCTTTCCTTTGATCGGTACGTTCTGGGACATCTTGTATATTGGTGATCATAGATTCATTTACCAAATTTGTAGCGGTAAAACCAACTAGAAGTACCCGTTCTGTAGAAACAGTCTTAGTACGTGAAATATTTTTCATCCTTAGCTATCTAAACCGAATTATTTCTTATAGGGGACTGTTTTTCACAAGAAGATACTTCAAGGAATTTTGTATTACTCATAAAATCTAACACACTCGTAACATTATATCTGTTACGCGCGCCATTGGACAGGTGGAACGGGTTAATCGGACCTTGCGGACAAGTACACAGATGCGATCTGCATGGGATGTGACAATTTCTGAAATTGTCATGAGGATTAATCACACAATACTTGATACATCTAAATACATTCCTTACTATCTTATACACACAAAAAAAAAGCTAGTGGCTATTTGAACTGTCTAGAGATATCTTAAAAAAAGAAGCGTAAAAGGGCAAGTGAAAAATTAAAAAGAAAACAAGAATATATGGAGACTAAGTGTAATGAAGATAGAAAGGAAGCTACATAAGAAATATAGAAAGGGAGTATTAGTGTTGTGGAATAATGCGTTCACAAGTTCAGAGACTGGGGTCAATCGCAAGATAATTAAGGTGTATGCAGAACCTTATAAAATTATTCAAGTGTGTCTTAACGATTATTACAAGATTCACAGTGTAAAGGAGATAAAAGGCTATAAGAGTTTCGTTGCAATTGTACCAGCTGACTCATTGTAGTCGTACAAACGTTCTGTCAGTTATAACACAGATTCTGCTGACAGCGATAAAGAAGGGGTGTATACGCAAGATCTGATTGATCTATTAGTATCCGTCATAAGTTATTGGTAATCGATGTACCTACATCAGTCATTTCAGTTGTAGCAAATATTTTTAACTTTATCTAATGTCTCTTCGTTAATACCTTATGGTAGCATACATTTGCCACCCTGCAATATGAATTTCAGGGTGGTGAATGTTACAAATCGCTACCGGAAACATCCGAGCAATGCCTGGCGAAGCCGGGGCGCGTCGAGAAAAAGGCACTACGCACTACGTATGGAGCGTCAGCGCGTGCGATTAATATTAACTTAATTATTGTCAATTTGAATGATTAAATGTAATGAATCATAAAGTGCCAGTTTATTTTACATATGCTCTGAATTCGATCTTGATGCGTAAAAGTGGTACTACTTTGTATATAAAATGTATTCGCTTACTATATTATTGAAAACGTTGTAAAAAGTGCTTCGATGGTGATAAAATCTCAGGTTTTATTTATTTAAAATCTTGTACCTCCTGTACAGTTGGCGGACTTAATGCCTTTAGGCATTCTCTACCAGTCAACCACAAGCTAAGTAGAGAAATTTAAGCAGATGCCATAAAAACTTGAGAATATATACATACATACATACATACATATAATCACGCCTCTTTCCCGTAGGGGTAGGCAGAGACCAGTTCTTTCCACTTGCTACGATCCTTACATACTTGTTTTGCTTCGTCCACTTTCATTATTCCCTTCATACATGCTCTACGGTTTAGGGTACTCTTGACCTGGCCTTTTTTCAAGACGTCCCTGATTTGGTCTAGAAATGTCCGCCTAGGTCTACCCCTTCCAACACTTTCATTCACACTCGCCTTATACACTTTTTTCGTCAATCGTTCTTCATTCATTCTCTCGACATGGCCAAACCATCTCAGCATACCTTTCTCAATTTTTGTCACTACATCTTCTTTCAGACCACAACGTTTCCTTACCTCACTATTTCTTAGCCTGTCACTCAGTTTAACTCCTATCATACTTCTTAATGCTCTCATCTCAACTGCATTTATTCTGCTTTCATGTTTCTTCTGCCATACCCAAGTTTCACTTCCGTACATGAGTGTCGGAACCAACACCCCCTCATGCACAGCCAAACGAGCCTTGTTAGACACCTTCCGACTGCTCATAAAGGATTGCGCTCCATTCACCATGTTTCCTGCATTCACTCTTCTTTCGATATCACTCTCACACTTTCCATCTCTTGTAAACTTTGAACCCAGATACACAAACTCTTTCACCTGTTCAATTTGTTCATCTTCGATCACGATATTGCAGTCTGTCACTGCCTCATCTTTTTCAAACACCATCACTTTCGTCTTCCTTACATTCATCTTCATTCCCTTTCTAACAAAAGCTCCACTCATAGCAGTTACCATCTCCTGCAACTCCTCGGCCGAAGACGCAAGTAATACTTGGTCATCAGCATAGAGAAAACATTTGACGAGTAACTCATTCATTCTCAACCCACTTTCATTCTCTTTTAAATCTGTCAAACAATTGTCCATGAACAGATTAAACAGCCACGGTGACGCTACACATCCCTGTCTAACACCTTTTTCGATATTAAACCATTCAGTGTATGCCCCGTTTATCCTTACACAAGCACTAGAATCCCTATAAAGATATTGCATTGCTCGTATGAGGATACTGCTCACACCGTTCACGGACAGTGCTGACCACAATTCATTCCTCACCACTCTATCATAGGCCTTTTCTAGATCTACGAACGCGCAGTAGACTTTCTTGTTTTTAGCCAAATACTTTTCGGCTATGCACCGCAAGGAAAAGACCTGATCCGTACATCCCATTCCCTTTCTAAATCCCGCTTGTGCATCCCATACTTTCTTGTCTGTTTCATTCACAATCCTTTCAAACATCACTTTCGCATACAATTTACCGACGACGCTGAGAAGGCTTATACCGCGGTAATTTATGCAGTCCTGCCGTGAACCTTTTCCCTTATACAATGGCACGATTACGGCTTTGCACCAGTCTCCCGGTACTTGCCCATTTCGCCAGCACAGATTGAAAAGGCGGTACAGCTGACTAGCCACCAGGCCCTGTCCAGCCCTCAGCATCTCGACGGTAATCCTGTCATACCCTGCAGCCTTACCTAATCTCATACTTTTCAACGCTTTCACTATTTCATCCATGCTTATCTCATTTTCATCAACATTTATATTAGTTTCCGTGGAAGGTGGCAGATGCTGTACCTGCACTTCCTCTCTTTCAAACAAACTTTCAAAATACTCTTTCCATCTCTTTAACACACATTCTTCTTCTTTTATAATGCTCCCATCTTGACTCCTGATTGTACTCAGCTCAGAGGTAG